TCAGGGACAACGTCCCTCTTGAGTGGGGCGGGGCAAGTCACAGGATCTGAAGTGACGTCAGGGGACTTGAGACATCAGGGACCCAGGGAGGATTGAACTCTGGGCAGAGCACACAGCTGACTGCCCGGGTCCGTGTGGGCTTGGCACCCCTCGGGCACAGCTGACCATGGCCTCAGTGCCTACGAATGGAGGGCAGTGGGGCAGTCCACAGAGGAGCCTGCCTCCCGGCCACTGGACTCAGGGACGGGTCCCAGGGACCAGGGATGATCCTCCACCCTCCCTCCAGCTTGGCTCCCGGGGGCCTCTGGGAGTAACAGCAATGCCTTGGGGAGGTGCCTGCTGGCTCGGTCAGTTGAGTGTCCAATCCTTGATATTGGCTCAGGTTGTGATCTCGCCATCATGGGATCAAGCTCCACATTGGGCTCCCCGCTGAGTGTGAAGCCTACTTAGGATTCCCTCTTTCCCCCTTTGTCTGCCCCTCCCCCATTCACACACTCTCTCTCTCTCTCTCTCTCCCAAAATAAATAAATAAACTTTAAAAAATGCCTAGGAGATCATCAAAAGAGTCGTATCAGAGAGTGTCTGGAAGGAGATGCAGCCGGCACCCTTTCAGGTTGCCTAAGAGTATTCTCTTCTCTCTGATCTCTTCCAGAGAACCAGGCAGCCAACAAGACTCTAAGAGCAGGTACAGAATGGTCCAAGCCCTTCTGTGGGAGAAAAACACAACTGAGAATCCATGATTCTGTGAGGAGGAGGAAGAAAATGGAGGGTGGGAGCCTTCCTCCAGTCTCAGCCCCTCTTAACCCGCCACCCCAGCCCACCCAAGCCCTGTTCTGGCCCAGCCTCAGGATCCTTTTAGTAAGGGCTGGGGACCAGCAGTTTACCTCTTGTGGCAGGGTGGGAAGAGACTGAGACCCAACCGTGAAGCAGAATGATGGAGAACAGGACTAAGCATGCCAGGAAGCCACAGCAGGAGAAAATGAGGGTAGAGTGAGGAAGGACTGCCTGATGGACAAAAGACACTTAAATTCATTCAGTTAACAAATAGCGACTGAGTACCAGTTTGCACTGGGCACTGAGCTAGGCGCTAGAGCCCCAAAGATGTGGGGAGTATGTTCTCTGACCTCAAAGACTGGAGACTATAATAAAGCAATAATAAGAGCCAGCACCTGTATCATGTTTATGATATGTTAAGCCCTATTCTAAGCATTTTATGAGTCATCTGATTCTCATAACCAACCTGCTAAGCTAGGTACTGTTATGACTTCCATTTCAAAGACAGCAAAGAAATTGAGGCATAGAAGAGTTAAGGAACCTGCCCAAGGCTGCACTGCCAAGAAGACGATTTGAACGAGGTCCAGAGTCCGTGCTCACTGCCATCTTGCTCTCCCAATCCTGGATGGCCATCTCACACCCAGTCTCCTAGCACCAGGAGCTCCTCACCACCCATCATGCCACCTCCAGCCCACATGTCATCACAGCCTTTCACCAGACACACGCAGAGCACTTGCTTTGTGCAGGCCCTGTGCTGGTGCTGGCCATGCTGACCTCAACCATGCTGGGGCCTGATCCTTAGGGAGCTCTGTGGCCAGTGGGTGAGGTCAGCCAGGTAGTCTGGCCATCGATGCAAGGAGACATTAGTATGGGATACACTGGAACCCCAAGTGAAGGAGCCAGCACCAAGCATGACGGCATCAAGAAGAAAGGTCAGGGCGCCTGGGTGGCTCAGTCAGTTGAGCGTCTGACTTCGGCTCAGGTCACGATCTCATGGTTCGTGAGTTCAAGCCCCATGTCGGGCTCTGTGCTGACAGCTAGCTCAGAGCCTGGAGCCTGTTTCAGATTCTGTGTCTCCCTCTCTCTCTGCCCCTCTCCCAGTCACGCTCTGTCTCTCTCTCTCAAAAAAATGAATAAACATTTAAAACATGAAAAAAAACAAGAGCTAACTAGGATGCAGAGAAATTGGCATTGCTGGTGAGAACAGAAAATGGTGCAGCCTTTGTGAAAAACAGTTTGGTGGCTCCTCAAAACATTAAAAATGGACTTGCCGCATGGCCCGGCAACTTCACTACTGGGTATATTACCGCAAAGAAATGAAAGCAGGGTTTCAAAAAGATATTTGTACACCCAAGTTCATTGCATGGACATGGTGAACGTTATTCACACTAGCTAAAATTATGGAAGCAACCCAAGCGTCTATCGATGGGTGGATGGATAAGCCAAATGCAGTCTATACATACCATGGAGTATCATTCAGCCTTCAAAAGGGAGGAAATTCTAACCTAACACTACAGCATGGATGAACCTTGAGGACATTTTGCTAAGTGCAGTAAGTCAGTCACAAAAAGACAAATAAATACCGGGGCGCCTGTAGGCTCAGTCTGTTGAGCATCCAATTCTTGATTTCGACTCAGTTCATGATCCCAGGATTGTGGGGTCAAGCCCCACGTCGGGCTCCGCGCTGAGCGTAGCGCCTATTTGAGACTCTCTCTCTTCCTGGGGCGCCTGGGTGGCTCAGTTGGTTAAGCGTCCGACTTCAGCTCGGGTCACGATCTCATGTTCGTGGGTTCGAGCCCCACAGAGGGTTCTGTGCTGACAGCTCAGAGCCTGGAGCCTGCTTCAGATGCTGTCTCCCTCTCTCTCTGCCCCTCCCCCACTCACTCTCTCTGTCTCCCCAAAAAAATGAATAAACATTAAACATTTTTAAAAAAGATCCTCTCTCTTCCTCCCCCCACCCTTCCCCCGCTCTCTCTCTCCAAAATAAAAAATCTTTAAATGACAAATACTACATGATTCCACTTACATGAGATACCTAGAGTAGTCTAATTCATAGAGACAGGAAATAGAATGGCGGCTGCCAGGGGCCGGGACAGCGGGGGTGTGGGTACAAGGGGCGCGGGTGTTTGATGGACGCACAACTGCTGTTAGGAAAGACGGAAAGGCTCCAGAGAAGGACGGCGGTGATGATTGCACAACATTATGAACGCACTTAGTGCCATCGAACCGTACACTTTAAAGCGGTTAAGACAGTCGATTTTATGTGAAGTGTACTTTCCCACAATAAACAAAAATCAAGTAAAAGAATTAGTGGCCAAGGGTAACTCCAACGCTGGTGAGGCTAAGATGAGAACGTTCCCTGAGGCAGGGCAGGAGCCGAGGCAGCGAGGAGCGAGGAGCGAGGAGCAGCACACGGGGAAGCAGAGTGAGGCAAGGGCTGATCTCTGCCACCAGCCCCGGTGGGGCTCCAGATGCGTCACTTCCTCGCTCCGGGGCTCAGTGTCCTCATCTGTCTGGCGGGATGAACAGGACCTGCTCTGCTGTGCTCATACGAAACCGCATGTGCAAAGGGCCTGAGAAAGCACAGGCCACCCGCCTGCCTTCTCTGAGCCAGATGAAAATGGCTAAAAGCCACAGGCAGGAATCTGATGGAAGTCATTAGATTTAAATGCCTGAGAAAAGACAAACATGGTCATGAAGAGCTCTGTGAACCATGAGTAAGAAGTAAGAGCAAACTTTGAAGTAAATAAGGACTTCTCAGAAGTGGGGACAGGCCCTGTCCTCCCCAGGCTTTCCTGGGAGGGTTATCTTGTCCATCCCTCTGCTCCTCCAGGCCTGTGCTACTGGGCCGGCCCCTCAGAGTCCCCTGCCTCTGCCCCTGAGGAGCCCCCAGGCTGCAGGGAAGTCACAGCCACATGCAGCCATGGAGCCCAGGGCGGTGACAGACAGGCCAACATAGCTGAGCTCAGGGCCGCTAGGTTCCCGTCTCTTCCCATCCACCCTGGCGCGAGCTGACGGCTGGGGCTCTTGCGGCCCAATCCCTCTCTTCCTGTAGATTCATCTTCTTGTGACCAGCTTAGCGCACTTAGCAAAATATCCTCAAGTTTCGCCCACGGTGTGGTGTAGGTTAGAATCTCCGTCCTTTGGAGGGCTGGATAATATTCTACTGCCTGGAGAGGCGGCATTTTGCTTATTCATCCATCCTTTGCCGGGCTGGATGGGGCAACCCCTGAAAGCCCGCCTGCTGGAGGCTTGGCTAAGCCGGCCTGCTGAGAAATAGCAGGGCCGCAGCCCATCACCCACAGTGGCAAAACGTACAACACTTTGATGCAACACGGACCAGGGGTCGGGTCCCGCTCTGCCCCTGGCTCTTTGTGTGATCTCGAGCAGTTACATAAGCTCTCCCTTGTGCACTCTGGTAAACATGGGGGTGAGATTTGCACCCTTCTCCCGGGGCTGTTGGAGGATTACAAGAGAATGCACAGATGTCCCCAGGGCCCAACAAAGGGTGGCCCTTGTAACTGTGTTATTACTTATTCTGCTTCTCAAGACTGGGGGGCGGGGTGGGACAAAGATGGAGAATGGAAAGACTGAGGGGTCGCCAGATCGGGCTGGGGCGATGCTGGGGTATCTTCCAAGTGCGTGGGACATGAGTACGTCTGGTGGTTGGGGGTGAGGGGCCGGGACCTGCCTAGCCCAGGCCTGACCTGCCAGAATCCCAGGACATGCTCTTCCCTCTGGGTTTGGCTAGAAGACCCCCCACCCCTACAGTGGGAGTCCTAAGCCCAGCAGGTGTTTCCTCTCCCAAACTGCTCTCCTGTCAGAGCTGGGGGGGAGCAGCACCCTGGACTTTACCCTCCCTTTTGGGCTCACAAGTTCCCTGGGCTGTCTGCCCTTAAAGACACACGTGGCCCAAGGCCAGCCGGGAGAGGAGGAAGCCTCTGAGAGGGTGTGTTCAAAGGAGCCACCATCTTCCTCTTCAGGCGTCTCCCCAGGCCCGCCCCAGGCCACCCCTCTGTCACCACCTCCCACCCATCTGCATAAACACTGACATCTGGAACTATTGGTGACCAGACAGGTAGCCATTAGCCCCGAGAGAAGGTCCTGGCCCTTTAAGGCTGCCCTGGGAAGAGATGACACAATCACCCCACTGGACTTTGTGCCCTGAGGCTGCTGGGGAAAACAAGGCCTGGGAGCCGCAGGCAGCCTGCTCAGGCAGGCCCACAGCCAGGGAGTCCCTTTCCCCCTCCCTTCCTCCGACAGGTTTGCCCTGCTCCCAAGAAATGGGAACTCACTCGGCTGTGCACACAGGTCTCCAACACGCATGCTATCTCTAATGGCATCCTCTCTGTCCCAGTTCCTAGGCTTCATTCATACCCCCCGCCTCCTTCCAACAGGTGTCTCAGCCGGGGCCGTCTTTCGGTGCCCATCTGCCACTGTGCGAGGAGGGGACACTGGTAAGCACCACCCTATGTGTGCCTAGCACCCAGCCCAGAGCCTGAGTGCCGCCCCGCGAAGGCACTGGCCTAGTCAAGGCAAAGGGAGGTGGGCGATCTCTGGGAGAGAGCCTGGGTGGGAGTCAGAGCACTTGGATTCTGGACCCGGTTCTACCCTGAGTCACTGCAGGGCCTCCGGAGTATCTCTGCCCATCTCTGAGCCAGCATGTCTGCCTGCAGCGGACGGGCCCTCTCGTTGTGAGGTGGTGCGCAAGGCTCCAGATGGAGCAGGGGTTGCTGATGCAGGAAATGGCCTCCATTCTCCTCCACCCCATGAACCAGGCCCCCAGTCGGGTCACAGGCTAATGAAGATGGGCAGGAACTCTCTTAAACAGCTTACACCGAATGAATGGTTTGTGTAGGAATCTTTAAGGGCCTGTGTGCCGCCTCCTCGGGGAAGCTTTCTCGGACTGCCCCAGCGTTTGGCTCCAGCACTGGGGACTGCACCTCTTTGGGGTTAGGAACTATATTGCCTCCAACTCTGAGAACCAGAATGAGCCCCTTGCCTGACACATCGAAGGCTCCGGCCAGACATCTTTTGAGTGAAAAATGAATAAAGGTAGATGGTTTTTAAATATCAGCACTACACACAAAAGGAGCCCCAGGTCCGAGTAATGATGGACACGTTAGGCCAGGGCAGGCCCAAGCTCTTTCATTCAAAAGCTGGGTGACCTTGAGAAATAATCTGACCTTCCCGGCCCCCACTTTGGCCCAGATCCCGCAGGCCAGTTAGTTAGTAAGCATCAATTAGGGGTCTGCTGTGTGAGCAGCACTGGCCTTAGGAGGGTTAAGGGGGCCACACGGGAGAATTAGAAGATACGGTCTCTGCCTTCGCAGAGCTCACTTGTGGTTAATATACATCTGAAATAAAAACAACAGTGAGTAGAAGTCGGGACAGGATAGACAGGCAGACCAAAGGTAGGAGTGAGAGGTTGATAAGAACAGGGTGGAAGTAATCCCAGGAGGTTTCCTAGAGGAGGTGAGTTCTGAGCTGTAGACTCAGGACACTAGGCTCATTCCTCCATTCACCCATATGGGTTAAAGCAGACGCTGTCCCAAGCAGGCTTTGGGGATACAATGGTAAAGAAACACTGCCCTTCCCACCAGGAGCTTATAGCTTCACTAGGAAACCGGCATCTAAACTCAGGTGGCCACATAGCCTGAAGAGTGGGGAACATCTCTGAAGGCTCAGTCTGGAAGAAATATCCCCAAACTCTGCTCATAGAGTCTGAGCTTCTAAGGGAGCAGGAGACACAGTTCATGAGAAGGGACAGGAGGAACATTATAAGGCAGATAAACAAAGTTATTGAGGACCTGTTGTTTCTCCAGGTTCTTGGTGACCTCACCTTTGACCAACAATTTCCTGGCACTGGCTCAGGCTGCCAAGGGGTGGGGGGGAGGGTAGAGGGGGAGGAAGAGGAGGGTAAACAGCAGGTGAGGCCAAAGGTGGCTTTGAAAGGCAAGGGGCACATTCCGAAAAGTCTCCCCAGCCTGGGGCCTGCGGCAGAGCCCAAAGTCCGATAGCGAACCCACACCTGCATTCCAGCCATCTGAAGAGCCATAAATACCTGAGAACCCACCAGAAAGGATGCTTCTAGCTGCCTGGGCCTCCCTGACTCCACAGCCCAGCTCCCCTGCTCCCCAAACACCCCCCCTTCTCCAGGAGGCCTTCTGGATTCAATGGAAGGAACTGAGATTTCCACTCGGGGATGACCTCTTCTTCCTCCTCCACCTCCTCATCCTCCCTCTGCTTACTCTCTTTGGCCCGGACTGCCAGTGGGAGACACCCTCCCCCTCCCCCAAGACAGAAGCCGGGTTCCATGCCCGGTCTGCCCTCCACAGGCTCTGGGACCTCAGGCCAGTCACCAAACCTCACCAAACCTTGTCATCTGGAAAACAGGGATGCCTACAGAGAACCCTTTCACAGAGCTTTTGGAAAGAATGAATGAGATAAGGCACCTAAAATTAAAGTAGGCATCATGATTCTAAAACCTGGATGGTACTCCAGTATCAGCCAAATTTCTAATTTGCTGAGGAGGAAACAGGTCCAAAAGAGACACAAAAAAATTGGGAAATAGGGTACTCTCTCTTCTTCCTCTTCCTCCTTCTATTACTCATCTTCGTCCCCCTTCTAAATATGGGTTCCTCACCATTAGGGGCCACAGATCCCTGGAGAAGGCAAAAACAAAGGCCTTTCTCTCCCCAGATACATTCATTGGCATATCCCCAAGTCCGTGTGAGTAATTTCAGCAGTTCATTTGCCTCCGGTGGTAGATGTTTGCACCATGACAGACTAGAAAAAGAGAGGAGCTGTCACAGTCCTGAAGCCACGCCTCCTTGGCCACAGACCCCAGGAAGCAGGAAACGACAAGGGGCAAATCCTAAACTTCAGGGAACAAATCTCAGCCAAAGGGTCCCCCAAAGCCAGTCTGCAAGGCCCTGGGAAGGAAGTCCTATCTGAGCCCCCCTCCAAACTGCTCACCACCTACCCCCACCCACTCCCAACGCACAAAACCTCCCTGAGCTAGTTAAGTCCATTCTGGTCCTTGAAAGTCAAACAGAATCTTAGAGACTATCTGTACAAACCTCTTTATCTTTCCAGACGCAGAATATACACAGCAAAAGATATCTTGACTTGCTTGAAGTCACCTGGATAATCAACAGGAGCCAGGCTGAATTCCCCAACCCAGTCCCACAAATGTGTCCCCAAGAACCCACCGTGTGCTCTGCGCCCTGTTGGCAGGGATGAGACTACCAAGAATTGATAAGTGGTGTCTTGATTGGCCAAGCAAGCCTAAAATCCTTGGAATGAGAACGCAAACAGATTACCGGGCTCCTGACTATGTAAGAGAAGTTGCAAAATCCCTACAAGTTTAGAAAAGGCGGAGTTGGAACGTTTGTCCATTCAATTATTTAACAAACATGTATTGAACCCCAAACACTAGACATGAGCATGAGGTGGTAAATCACCCAGACAAGGTTCCTGCTCTCCTGGAATCCTAGAGAGGGAGAAAGGCAATAAACAAGTAAACAAATAGAATAAATTTAGCAGGAGAAACTAAAAAGTGACATAATTGTTGATGTAAGTGATATCGTCAAGAGGTGGTACTCAAGGGAGGCCTCTTGGAGGAGGTGATATTTGAGCCGAGTCCTAAAAGGTGAGGAGGAGGCATCCACACGAAGGGGTGGAGCCATAATGTCCCAGAAAGAGGGAACAGCAAGTGCAAAGTCCCCAAGGCAGACATGAAACTGATATGTTCAAGGAACAGGAGGGTCAGTGTGTACAGGGGGCGAGAAGGGCCTCGAGGAGGAGGAAGAGGTGTCAGGAGGCCGGCGAGGAGGGCGGGCTCGATGCTGCGAGTGGGGAGGGTGTAGGCAGAGAGACAGCATGATCCCACGTGTTGTGTCAAAGCTCATCCTGGCTGCCGGGAGCGGCACGAATTGGAGGCACTGGAGGGGAACGAGGAAGCCGCAAAGCCCAGGAGAGATGGGAGGAAGAGTGGACAAGAGATGGAAATATTTTTGAAGTCGAACAGGCCCCAGGATTGCTGATGGGTTTGGATGTGGGGATCAAGCAAAAGTGGAGATCAAATATGAAAGCCAGGCTTTGGGTCTGAGCGATGTGGGGGCGGCAGGACCCTTTACCGGTGTAGGAAAGTAACAGGTTACAGAGGAAGCCAAGGGTTACCAGTCGTATTTCAGGAAAAAAGCTCAATGTCCTTTGCTCACAGACCTGTTCCATTTAATGGGCTGTATAACAGTGTGTCCACATGATAACAAAAGATCGAGCCTTTCAAAGAATTCAAAGGAGGTTGTGACTGAAGATGGGAAAGAAGAGGCCTGGCTCTGAAAAATGGCCCAAATGGCCAGAAGCATATCCATCACAAGTAGAATTTCAAAATTGTTTTCCTTCTGGGTTGTCCACACCGTGCGGCCGGCGGCCAGGCCTCTCTCTCAGGCCAGGGGAGAGGGGCAGTGGGGCTGGCGGGACAGCCTGATGTTTGTGGTTCTTTAACTCTTGCTCGCTCTCTCAGCCCGTTTCCATGTTACACAAGTGCGATCGTTGGATCTGGGCATGGTTCTTTTTTAGAAGTCAAGAGTTTCTGGAAAAGACGACCAGCTGGGATCAAATACAAAACCACACTCTCGGTGCCACCTTCTGAGGGAAACGCGGGCTTTTGACCCTGCAGCCAAGGGCTCCCACTGGGAGCCTCCTGGGCCGCAGGGTGACACTGACGATCTCCTCAAACCCCAGAGAAAGGCAGCAGATTCTTCCTCTAGGGATCCTGGTTGGGAAACCCAGCCTCTTCCTCCACCTCTATCCTGTAAGGCCCCACTGGACCCCAAACCTAAGCCCTTGGGGTCTTGAGCAGCCCATCTCAGCCCCGCCTCAGCTCTGCCTGAGGCTTCTGCTGACCCCTGCCACATCCTTCCTCTTTCTACCCCACCCCAGTCCCTCCACATGGTCCTTATCTACTTCTGACTGAAGGTGTCAAATGGTTTTCCTCATGTGCCTCTCTAGCACTAGGCCGCCTCCTCCAGAAAGCCCCCAGGGGTTACGGCTGATGCCATCATCAATCTAGCCGTTATAATTTCTGGCCTTTTTTTCCCCTCTCTGCTACGTACACAGATGTGTGATCACCCTGGATGTGTGTGTGTCTGTGTCTGTGTGTGTGTACCTGTGTGTGTCTGTGATGCGTACAGGCCTGGATGAGTATGTCCCCCACTCGGACTGGGGGATTCTTAAGGGGCCTCAGAGTGACGAATGGATACCCCTCCATCCTCTTCTGCAGGAACTCCCCCCTCCCCCCACCATATGAGTCTGTTCCTGGTCCCTGTCCTGCCTTCCTACTCTCCCTGGTCTCTGCCTCAGGTCCCTTCCATCTGGCAGACAAATATTTACCGAGCACCTACTCTGTGCCAGAGGTGCCGGGGGTACCCCAGGGAAGAAGGTAGACAAGGCCCCAGCTCTCATGGAACTGTCATTCTGGGTGGGGGGTCAGATTATAAACAGAGACATGGATGGGTGAGTGGGGATGAGCAGCAGAGGCAGAGAGAACAGGCCCCTCCAACAGAGTGAGCGCTAGTCACTCCCTCAATAAATGAGCACCTACTATGCATTGGGTGCTGTTCCAGGGACTTAAGCTACATTAGTGAACAAAACAGACAGAGACGCTTGCCCTTGGGGAACTTAAATTCTAGTTGCCTGCAGGGAGACCGACAGTACATAGTGCACGGAACATAAGAAATAAGTGCGTTTTATAAGGTGAGAGCATTAGAAAGCAACTAACATTTCGGGAGAAGGGTAAGGTAAGAGATGAGTGTGGGGCTAATGTTGCCATTTTAAACAGGTGCCTCAGGGGAGGACTCATTTTGAAGGTGGTATTTGAGCAAAATCCTGAAAGAAGGTGAGGGAGTGAGTCCCATAGGTAGCTGGCGAAAGAACATTCCAGGCAGAGGAGAAAGGTCGTGCAGACGCCCTGGTGCCAGAACATGCCAGATCTGATTGCAGGACAGTAAGAAGGCCCGTGGGGTTAAAGCAATGGAAGGGGAGGAGCTGAAAATGGAAATCAGAGAGGCAGCCAGACTGGGGAGAGATCATGGAGGTGCTTGAGGGCCATGTGAGGACCTTCGCTTTTACTCGGAGGGAGATGAGGAGCTGTCGCAGGAATTTGGGGCCCAAAAGTGACAAGTTCGAGCTACCCTTTCCTCGCTAAAGGGCGTAATGGTAAGACGTGATGGCGGAGGAGGCTGCTGCTTGAGGCAAAGAGGCAAGGGTGTCTGTCGGAGGAAGGCCTTCTAAGCTGGGGTCTGAGGGACAGAGAATGGACACCCACCCTTCCTCCCCCTCTAAGTCTTCCTCAGTCTGCCAACCAAAGAAAATCTTCTGCTGTCAAACTACACCTCTCTCTTCTCCCTTCACACCTCCTTTCTGCTCCTCACCCTCTCTCCCTCCCTCTCTCCTCCCACCCCTTGACTGACCCTCCCTCTCTCCTCATCTCCCTCCTTCTCCTCACCTCTTTTTGTCTTCAGCCTCTCCCCATGGGGGTGAGGGCTTCCCCCTTCCCAGAGTTCTTAGAAAATGGTTGGGAAAAGCGCTGGGAAAGGCTGCAACAGGCCCTTGGCAAGAGCGAGGATGACAGATTACAGTGTCTGGTCGTGGCTGCTCACCCTGTAATCAGGAGGGTGTCTCAGGTGGACAGAGACCCTGGGGCGTGCCCTGCCTGGCCGAGACTTCCCATCCCCAGTCAGCCCCTCCCCAACCCCCCTCTCAAGCACAGGGGAGAGAGAGAGGGCGTCTTTCAGGCCTTGCCCTCAGCCCAGCCTTCAAGCCTTGATACGGGGAGAGGCCGAAGAAAACTACCGAACTTTCGAACGCAACCCTTCATGGCACGGAGGGTGGGACTGAGACCCTCAAGCGGAGACGGTGCAGCTCCAGGTCACAGAGTGAGATTCAAGCCCAAGATGGTGTCCATACCGCAGACTGTCTCAGCCCGTGGCCCAGGCCTTAGGACCAAGCAGCAGGTCAAGGCTTTGGAGTTCCAGTCAGACGCTGTCTGGGGACAGGGCAGGGCCATGTGCTGCTGGCTGCTGGCTCCTCAGGGGCAGGGAAAACCCCTTCCTGTTAAGAGTGACCCTAATCCTATACCTCTGGGGGAGCAGGGACGGCTCAGTACAGTTCCGCGTCTGCCCCTAGAGGACCGCTTGGCCGCCGGTGGATCAAAGGTGCAGGAGGAAAGGAAAGCCCCACCACAGGGGCCCAGCCTCAGAGTCTGGATGGGAGCCCTCCTCTCCTCTAGAAAGGAGACTCACAGTGTCAGCCTGCCAAGTCACCTGTTTGTCCAGGAACAGGCCTGGCTCTTCTCAGCTATCATGTGCCACGCGTGGCTGTGGCCTCCAGCACCTGAGTCATCTGTGACTCATTGGCCTCTGCCCTGGGTCCCAAGAGGGTTGGGCCGGGTGGACCTGGCCTGGGGATGGTATAAGACCTGTCCAGTGTCCCTGGAACGGGCCTGTCCCTGCCCTCCCTGCACTGAGACAGACAGCCAGACCCCTCACAGAGAACCCAGAACAGCTTGTACTGGACCTCTGCCGCCTTCACACGCACATGCACACTCATGCACGCGTGCACGCACGCACACACCCTTACAGTGCCTTCCCACTCACACGTGTGCTGAGTAGACCCACATCCGCCAGAGTCTCCGTCGAGCCCCAGAGCAGAGGAGTTAGGGTCTGCAGTTACTTCTTTGTATGACCTCGGGAAGCGTTCATCTCTTTTCTAGGCCTCAGTTTCCTCCTCTGACCTGGGGCCCACAGGTCTCCAACATCCCTTCTAGCCCAAACTCTAAGGAGGGATTTAATGGAGTGATTTCGGACCTGTGGTCAGCCAATGACAGGGAGAGCTAGCAGGGTGACGGCAGGTATGGCTGAGGGAACGGACTTCCCTGGTACTCTCCAGACCATACCGCCTGAGGCTATAGGCAAACACTGCAGGGAAAGGGGTGGTAATGCCCTGCCAGAATCTTCGTCAGACTAGATTAGAGCCTCCAGGGCCCTGCTGTAGCTACCTTCCCAAGGAGGAGAATCAAGGAAATAGACTTCCATAAGCCTTCCCCTCAAACTGGGCTTCCTGAGGGCAGGGGTGTGTCTCCCCCTCAGACCTGGGCTCCCTGAAGGCAGGGCTGTGTTTCCCCCTCACACTGGGCCTCCTTGAGGGCAGAGCTGTGTCTACCTCTCAGACTGGGGCTCTCTGAGGGCAGGGCTGTGTCCCCTCCCTCAGACTGGAGTTCCCTGAAGGAAGGACTGTGTCTCCTCCCTCAGACTGCTGACCTGAGACAAGACTGTTCTTTCCCTCAAACTGAAAGCCCACAGGTTAAGAACTTTTAGTTTTACCTTTTTTTTTTTTTTTCCACATCAAATCTTCCCCTCCTTGACTGAGCCTGACCCAACTCCAGGGCCTACTCCCATTCTGCCTATTTTACACTAGGTGAGCTGGATCCCAGGCTGACAGCACCCACAGAGACAGAGGCAGGCAGTGCGATAACAGTCTAGCAATCTACCA